GGGTGGCTGAATGTAAGGATCATGTATATGTAAATGTTGGGTCCAAATTAGGTCAAAGATGATTGGGTCAGGAACTCACTACCTTGAGTTGTGAATTTGACATAACCTCTTCTAGAGGAAGGGCGGAACCCTTATGGCCTTGTGTGAGACCATTGTGGGTCCCTTACCATACAATATTCAAGCCCAAAGTGGTCATGCAACACCTTGGGAAAAACCTTGTCTGGTTCTATTGTCGGTTTTTAAAACAATCACTAAAAACTTCATTTATCAAAAAAAAAAAAACTAGAAACTTCCTCCCGTTCAAACCCAAAACTTAATTTACCCAAAACTCTAAACCCGCCCAAACCCACGTTGGTCTTTTCTTTTTTGCTGTTTGCTTGCCCGCGTCGTTCTTCACTTCTTCCCACTCCAGATCTCGCCCACTCTTCTTCTCTCTTTCCCTCTTCGTTTCACTCCTCTTGCTTGCCTGCTTGCCCCCTCTCTCAGTCACTCCTCTTCTCTCTTTGCTAGAAATTCATTTCACTCCTCTTGCTTGCCCCCTCTCTCGCTCACTCCTCTTCTCTTGCTTCATCCACCGTTAACCCATTTTATTTGTCGAAAAGTAAGCCCAGTTGGGGCTGTAAAATATTTTGACTAAGGTTCAAGGAGAGGAATCAACATTTTGGTTTGTAAATCATTTTGGTGAAACAAAGATCTTAGGTATTTCGGGTTGTAATTATGATTTGAGTTTAGGATAGGAATCAACCAATTTGGGGCTGTAATTACGATTTGAGTTTTTGTATTTTTTTGTTTTTTTAAATTTCCACTTTGTTTTTGCAAGAAAATTTTCTATTGTAAATATTCACCAAACCAAACCTATAAATTTCCTCTGATTTATCTAATTCATTTTCCAGGTTACGTTGAAGTTGGGCTCTTGTTTTCTTGAACTCTTTGGAAGGTAAAACCATTGCTAGATTACTTGCTATAGAATGTTATGTAACTACTCTTGAGAGTATTCAACAATTTTTTAATGGTGAATTTATTAACTATCTTCAGTTCTTCATTAAAGTAAATATTTATCAATGGCACCGGTTGCACTTCGAAGTGACTGGGGAACATGTACCAGTGGGATCTATTGTCTAAGTTTGAATATTCCATGAAAAATGATTCTTGTGCAAGATTTCTATGATTTCAACAACCAATTCCACTGGTTATCTTGAAAATGCTAAGATACATTATTAATTTGCTGATTATCTTACTATGAAGAATGAAACACATCTAGATATTGCTCCATACCTCACTGCTCATGTATCTTTTTTGTTTTACTGAAAATCTAGATGTTGTACGTGAGCGGTCTTCTAAAGGCTACTTGCTTATTGCAACAAGTGTAGGGTTAAACCAACAAAGAACAGGGGTAACAATATCTCTAAAGAACCCTAGTTTAAATGCTCAAGAATTTTTTTATATTTTGTTAGTTTTTTAGTTCTATTTCTATTTTCAGGGTTTTTTCTTTCTCATCTCTTGGATTTCTATACTGCTTTTGTGGTCTAAGGATAATTTTGTAGTCGTAAAACAAAATCTTTTGTGATGGGCAACACCTCATTATACCTTCTTACAGATGTACAGGTTTTTGGAGCTTGACCAATTAATACAAATTATTGTTCTTGACGGATAGCTTATTTTTACCTTGAAAGCCAAACCCAATATCTAGATCCTGATTCACATCTCTTAACTCTTGTATGAGCTACAAACTGACTATAGGGAATTAATATTGGGCTTGAATTGTAGCTTAGGGCTACCTACGCTTTAATAGGATAAATTATAGACTGCCACCTTGTACTAGGGGGTAGTGACACTTAGCCCAATAACTTTTAGCTTGCAGCAATTTGCCCCTCTCCCATTAATGGAATTGATGGTAAAGCCAATGGTATAGTTTCAGTGTGAGGATGTAGTTTCAGTTCCACCCATTACTGGGACAAGCAACGAGGGGGATCATAACACTAGTTCCTAGTGTGAGGATGTAGTTTTGAAAAGCCAATAGTATAGTTTCAGCTGCAAGAGAAAGCTTTAATCAACAAACAAAAAAAGTGAACAAATAACTCAATTTACAATTCACATATAAAAATCCTGACCACGCAAATAAGAAAGTGAAGCATTAAGAATATAAAAGCATCTATTACGAACAAATGCATTATAATTGGAGTAATGGCAAACTGATGTAGGAAAACCAAGACGATACAAAAATATCTTATGACATTTGAAATGCTGGACTTCTAGTGTTAAAATAACCAATTCACGAGAGGTGTAGACCATGTAATGAAGAATTAGGGAATGGGATTTCAGGGTTCTCAATTGGCTAATATAAAACTAGTGAAAATATCAGATATTTCAAATTTTAGGATTCAGAAAACAAAGAACTAGAATTCAACACCTAGAAGATATAGAGTTAATGAGTAATTAAGGAAAATGATCAGAGGTGTATCACCTATTTATGGATTTTCCCCTCCTAGAACAAGGCCTCATTAAGGTTATAGGCTTATAGGATTTAGGTTAAGCATGGAGTCACACCACAGAGAAAAGCCTGAAAATCTGTACAATCAAAAGCAAGAAGATTCAACGGGAGAATTCTGGGTTAATCAGTGTCTCGCCTTGATGTATGTGAGACTTGGGGGCCACTTGATAACAGTTGTAGTGGCTGAACTGAAAAGTTTATTGTTTTGTCTTTTGACAAAATAACCCATCATTAATTCTATGAACATAGTCGCTATATTGATGGAAGAAACCATCACTAAATATATAAAAACCGTCACTATTGCAATATGTACCAACACTTGCCTTTGTTGGTAAAAACTATTATTGACGGTTCTTCCACCACTAATAAAGAAAAACCGTCAGAAAAATTGAAAACATATACCTTTAAAAGATTTTTATTGACGGAGACAATCGTTGGTAAATTTATACCTATGGATGTTCTATCAATAATAAAACATTTATGAAATCTTTACCAACGGATATGTGTTAGTAAAACTTATACCAACGGATTATTCATCGCTAAAGGGTGTTCAAAATGCATCACTAAAGATCTTGACAAAGGTTTTCTTAATTTGTACCGATAGGTTAATGCCGCCACTAGTAATCTTGAGACCGTCAGTATTGCACGTTGATTTATACCGGTGGATCCCAAATCCATTGGTATAACCTTATAGCTACAGTGCCTATACTTAAGAATTGATCGGCCGTCGGTATAAATACTTTGACCGTTGGTAATAGGTTAAATTGACCTATACTGACGGATTTTTTATCTTTTACCAACAAATTTAAAGCCGTTGGTAAATGTCCCTTATTTTGCAATGATGGGGGCATCCAGTGGGACACAATACACTTAAACAAGGATAACCACATAAATAACTTTGTCCAAGTAATAATAATGGAGTAGCCATATAAACAACTTTTAGTAATATAGTTAAAACAAGTAGATAAATCTAAAGCAAGGATACAATACAAGCAAATAAAGCAAAAAAAACAGCCTTGAACATGATTGAGGAAGGCATTCGGCCCTTGTCCATGCGAAAGAAGAGCCCTTGGTAAACAGGAAGGTTGATGGCGACCACAATCCCACATAGAACAAACTGCAAGCTTAATGGTGCCATAACAGTAGTTTGCAAGCTCATTATGACCACCCACACCCCTCCCACCAAACTAAATAGGTTTAGCATCGCGATTGTTGCAAGAATGAGAAACAAGGGAGAAGAGGTCCCAAACTCCATCATCTCTTGCTCATATCTCTGTGACACGTCCTGGTCGGCCACCTTGGTCGTGATGACAAATGTAGACTTGGAAAACCCAAATACCTTAAGCAGATTATCAATGAAGGCGAATAGGTAGGAAGTAGTCCGTTTAAACATCCACATCCTTTGGTTGTTCCACCAGCCTTGGACTGTGCCGCCACACCAGAGGAACTCTAATAAGCTATATGTGTATTTGGAAATGGCCACATAGGCAAAAGGAATCAACCATGGGCTTGATATCTGGAAAAGAGATCATTTGAAAGAGTATTGTTTTTTAGACTGAAAAAGAATAAATCAATACATTTGATATAGATATAATTCATTCAATGAAAAGAGAAGGAGAGGATGTTTACCTTGGGAAACAAGGCCGTGCCTTTGAGAAAACAGAGTGAAGGGATGACAACATAATATAATGTTGCTAAGCAGTTAGGAGCCCAGAGGCAGTAGCTACAATACCCCATCTGAAGTCCTACCTTGATCTTTCCATGCCCAACTAACAAGGGGTTATATTTTGAGAGAAAAATTTGAAAGTTACCTTCAGACCATCTCTTATATTGCACAAGCACCTGATCCAATGTAGTAGGAGCAACACCTATGAATGCCTTTCTTTTTGGACTAAAAAACACTGATTTCCATCCTCTGCATTGAATTGATAACCCCGTAATTACATCTTCCACTGGACAACCATACTTCAAACCCATCTGCATGCAATTCAGCATTCATGCAACTCAAATGTGAGAGAATGAGAAAGTGGTGGAGAGAGAGAGAGAGAGAGAGAGAGAGAGAGAGAGACCTCTTTTCCCCATTCAGTGTTTTCTTCATATGTACAACTTGCAAAGCCCTTTAATCTCTCATTTAATTCATCTATGCTTTCATCTACTTTCCTGTTATCCTGTGTCTCCCATTCTGTTATATGTTCCTTACTGTATTTCCTCCCACACAAGGTATCCCTTCTGTGAAAGCACCCACTGCCAATGTACATGGGCCCTCCTTCACCGTCCAACCCGGGAAATTCAATCTTCATCACCACCAAGCATTTCAGGAAAATAAATGAAACCAATGAGAAAATGATATCAAATATAGCTAGTTAAGAGGTCTTGACGCTGCTTTTTCTTATACAAACCTGAGAAATCACTTTTAGGAAATTATAGTAGATATCATTCTTGGTGATATTATTGAAGGCCTGTGGAAATTGTACGAAGGCAATTTGGTGGCCATTTTCTTCATCCATAAGAAAACATAATGCATCTCTTACGGAGCCTGAATTGTTGGAGAACATGTCGCAGTCCACATTCATAATTATCTGCCCATTGCTTAACCCTGATGACACCCTTATCTGTATAGTCGATCATCATAAAAAGTGTGGATGATGAAAAGAACAAAAGATGACTCTTGCTATCATAAGCTAGCATAACACAAGTTCTTAATTTCTGAATTACATGATTTTGATTATACAAAGTAACCTAAGCAATCTTTGAGCCATATAGTCGATAAGTGATGAGAAATATAAGCTCTATGTGAACATGCAAGCATTTATATAGGCTAGGTTTGTTTTCAGTGTAAACTTCATAAATGTAGTCCAACACCGATAGTGAACTGTTGGAACTTTTTCAAATGTGATAATTGATGTAAAAATACATTGATAAAACCGTCACATCGATTATCGATGGAAAACTCAACCAATGGGAAAACATTACACTAAAAACAAACACAAATATGGACTGAAAATGGAGTTTTACACTAGTTCATATTTACGCTAAAAAACAAATGTGGGAAAATGCAAACTGATGGTGAAATTTTGTGTCAATTCGCATTTACACTGAAAACAAATGCAACCATATAAGCTAATGAATTGTTTGTGCTCTATATATATTATACCAGTGCGTTCATGGCTCCAGCCTTGAAGTTGTGGTGATGGTGGGGTCTTTTCTCACGAGCCAAATATACTAGGGTTGGCAATCTTTGTCCTTCCATGTCCACAACATTAGGGTCTCTTCCATCAATTAATATCTAATAAGATTAACACATAAATTAGTCCATCAAAATATGCACTCATCAGAAATAAGATAGTTGTGCAAAGACGAAAATCCATTTATTAATCTTGTGAGAACGTTTAATAGACTCCTTTTAGTTTTAGTTCTGAATTCCTTTATAGTAGAAGTATCACATGAAAGTTATTCATTCCACGAAAAGCTTTTAACCAAGTTCATTTTTAAGAAAATATGAAATGAAGGATGATTTATTCTGTAAGGCTGCATTTGGCATTTCTTATTTTAAGTATCTAAAAATAAGTGCTTAAAAACAAGTGCATATTTGAATAAGCACTTATTTGCATTTGGCACCCTACTTTTTCAAGTGTTTATTTAAAAAAAAATAAGCACTTATTCCATATTAGGATTTTGTAGTCTTTTTCTCCATTAAGTACTTAAATAAGCATTTGTGACTATTTTTTCTTTCGTTTTCTTTCAAATTTTACAAAAGCAATTTTATAAAAGCGTTTTTGTAATAAAAGTACTTTAATAAAAACATTTATATGAAGGTACTTTTACAAAAGTGCTTTTACGGATGAAAGTACTTTTAGTTTACGAAAACACTTTTATGAAAGCACTTTAATAAAAACACTTTTACAAAACTACTTTTGGAAAAAAACTTTTATGAAAATATGTTTACGAAAACACTTGTACGAAAGTACTTGTATAAAATTCAACTAGGGATAATTTTATAAGTGGTATTTTAAAATTCAACTAAGGATAATTTTGAAAAAAAAAAATTGAATGAGTACTTAATTGTATAAGCACTTAAAAAAGCTGAAAATTTGGGCTAAAAAAATAAGCCCTGATTTTTAAAATAAGCACTAATTTTGGGCTTATTTCCCAAACACCATTAAGTGCTTAATAGTGTGGTCCCATCTCAAATAAGCACTCACAAACATGGCCTTACCTCCTTTTTACAATTAAAAGGTCCCTAGGCCGGAACACTAAATTTTTTATTGCAAAAGGAGGTAAGTCCTGGAATGCCAATTGCAGCGTAAGGTGTGTTGGAAATTCAAGCATATTAGCAAAATCGGGAGTCATTGACAAATGCCCCCTGAAATATTGTAAAGTGTGTGTAGACTCCGAAAAGCCATCTATTAGGCTATGTTTGGTTTGAAGGAAAAAGTAGAGAAAGGAAAGATAAGGAAATCTTTACAACTTCCCTACTTTTTCCTTCAAACCAAACATAACTTTAGTGAATATTGTAGGTACCTGCAGAATGGTTGGATGATCACGAGGGTTTGATCCTGAACCCCATTCAAGAAATCCTTGGTGCTCTTTGATGATTTCTTCTGAAACTTTCCCTAGCACACTTGTAGTCTCAATCCGATCCACCATTTCTTTATACAATTTCTTGAACAAAGAAAAAGGAAAGAAAATATATTATCTGAAAGTTTAAAAAACTACAAAAAAAGGGAACAAAATGTTAATAAATAAAAGTTAATAATAAATCAAATTATTATGATTCTATAAGAAGAATTTAGAAAAGAAACACACACATTTCCAACTGCTTTATTTTATTTAATCACACCTAAGAGGCCCAAGTAATAATTCCTAAAAAAGGCCCAAGGCCCAATTAATAATAGGTTTACTTTAAAGTTTAAACTTTTAAGCCCAATACAGAAGGTCTAGATTACGAAAAAGTCTTCCATTCTTCGGCCCAATTGTAAGGTTTACTTATTCATTTTATAATGATAGTTCAGTTCAATTATGCATCCACCAAAAAAGGTTTCATGAGCATCTCTACCCATGTTGCAACCATGCATTGGGTTGTCTCACACGGTCCAAACTCCAAATTAATGACTGTGTCTTGGACCTCTTGGTTCAATGAACCACGGATTGGGTTGTTGGGATAATGCACCCCAAAAGAGTCCTGATGCCGTCCTCCAACAGAGAAGGCTATCCTTCAACGGTGTCATAGGGAACAGTCAATGTGTCACGTAATTCTCAAATCCCAATCAATTATTTGGTTCTACAGACTTAGATCCGGTCATATTTGCTCTTAAGGGGCGTTTTTTTTTTTTTTTTTCTGGATTTTTAGAGGGGGAAGGTTGGTCAATGGGATTTTAATTCTTATTGACCAAGAATTTAATGTTATTTTTTCAAATTTATGTGGGATCAGGGAAAGTTTATTTTCCTGTATATCACTTACCTGGGTAAGTGATACCCATCTCCTAAGTTGGTAAATAATTTTCCCACTTGGGGAAGAAAATTGCCAACATTTGAATGGGACAAGAATGCCCATTTTAATAATGAATTTTTTTATGGTTAAAATGGCCATTGCCTTATTTACATGAAAAATAGAAAAACATGGATAAATGCACTTACCGGGCAAATCTTTCCCGAGAAACACTTACCCAGATAAATACAATTACTTGGATAAATAACTTACCTAAAAACAAATGAGGCCGAGAAACATAAAAAAACCTTTACAAATCTTGCATAATTTTTTCTACCTTTCAACATGATTCATTGATATTCCTATATTCGATTAGCCACTTTCACTTTAGTTTAAATTTGGATTATGGTCAAAATAATTAAACATAACCCAATTAGAATTAGACTAGTTTTCTACTTCAATTTTACATAAAAGTCTGATGCATCGCACAAATCCCAATTAATGAACCAAAGAATTTATTTATTTTTTGATTTGTTTCAAATAAAACATTTCATTTTAAATAATATAATTTTAATAAAAAATGACAGTAGGATAGTGAACTATTTATAGGTGATAGAACAAGGAGACTTCTATTATTCTATATAATCGTTTGGGAGCAGCAAAATCTTATCCCGATCCAATTGATAACTGTGGCAAGATGGATGAGTTCAAATCTGCCCCCACAAGATAGATTATAGAATTTATTTTAGTGATTTCCACTGGCGTGTGATTGGAGGTATGGTTTATTGAAAAGCATGTCAGCATTGATTTGAAATTTGACCGTCAAAGCTTAATCTAGATTAGATGAACATCTACCAAAACGACGACGGCTACCGCTGCCGACCGAAAAAGAACGACAGTACCACCCGGAAAAAAAATTCAATCAAGATTGTTATTATTATTATTCCTGGAACTGACAGAGCTCACCTTGATGGATAAGAACTCCTTGGCCTGAGAAGGATTGACAAGTGGTTCAGGTGTCGCCGAAAAATAAGCAGCCGGCGACCTCGGTTCCACTTGGAATTTCTTGCAAAATGGAAGCCAATACTTCGAAAAACGGGACGCCTCCAAGAGAGCGTAGAATGTCAGATCTGACCCACCGTCGTCGGACAGATACACGTTGAGCTTCTCTGGCGGGTAATCGTAGGCCATGACCGATAACACAGTGTTTATTACCATCGTTGGTGGCTCTATAGTGGGATCCGCCGTACATACGAAAACGTCTATAATTGGCAATTCGTTCTCGTATCTCTGCGAGAGTCTATCCTTGAACGTTTGGCGATAGACGCGGTTCCATCGACGAAACTGAGTGAACACCCAATAAATACTGAACCAGAGTTCGGCTCCAAACAGTCCAATCCACGCCCATCTTCCATCCTCTCCTTCTCCTGGCACATGACTCGCTCTGTATACGAAAACCAGAAAAATACCATTGATCATCGAGAGTAAGTACAATCTATAAGCCAGTCGGCTCTTCTCTTGCTTTGTTTCGAACAGAGGTTTTCCCATCTCTCTCTCTCTTTGTCTCTCGGTGAGCATCATTAGTGTGATTTATGAGGAGTGCTAAGTGTTTGTCCATCTTACCCATCAACCCATCAGTGATCTTTGTTTGTTTGTTTTTTTGTTTTTTTGTGTTTGCAATGGGCCGGGTGAAATACTATACAAATCCATCCCAACTCGTATCTTGGGGCTGGCATGTGCATGGGGCTCATCCCCTTGCTGCATTTTTTAACATCCAAGAGAGAGACCATTTTTTTTTCACATCCCCTTAAACTGCTCATCTTTTCACTTTGTCTTCCATTCCCCTGATCTTTAGCCGTTGTGGCTCAGTTTGGAAGGAGTATGATGGGGAGATAAAGAAACAGAATAGGGTGGGAAAAGAAGCTGATTGGTGAGGGGCGGGAGGGAGAGGTCACATTTTAGGTAAAGAAACTGGTCCCGATTCTTGATGGAGCGCGAGGCCAAGCTTGTGTACCATATTTGAGCAGCTTGACAGAATGTGGTTGGGAAGGCAGGGCACAGGCTTGCCTTGTTCACTCCATGCAACTACATTATGACCTGGAAACTGTTGATGTGGTCGACCGAGTTACGAGTTTTGTCATAAGTCTCTATGTTTGAGGTCTTGAAATCCTTGGGCCGAGGCTTGACAAGAATTTCGATCATGTTTGTCAGTGTATACCCTTTGCTCTAATTAGATTGATGTACATAAACCTTTATTAGTAAATGAATAAAGTACATTATCGTTTCATGTTCTTATAGATATGTTTTTTTTTTGTGAATTACT